GGGGCAAGGAAGCAGTCGCTTCGGGTGCCCTGATTTCAGCGATTTCCACCGAGGATACCCCCAAACTTTTTCCCTGGGGCGGATGCTCGGGCAGCTTAAAGACTGATTTGGTCCACTTATTCGGTCCGATCTTACCCGTAGATCTGGGCCCTCCGACTGAGCTGTACAACTCCTTAACCGCCCTCTGGTTTAAAGATCGCGATGTTGCTGGCGCCCAGGAGGGATCCGAGCCTGGCCTGTCTCTCCCCCACAAAGAGGGCAGCACCGAGGAAAAGTTGACTATCTTCTCACCGACGATGGCTGCGGAGGGGCGAGCTAGACTCGGGGTCGCGCCCAGAGAGGCAGGGCCAATTGAGAGGACAGGCCTGCAGGGGTTAGGATTTTCCCACGGGAGCAGGATTGGGCTCTTGCCACGGGACGCCGGAGAGGAGAAGGGGACGAAGCCCCCAGGCACACACAAAAACGCCCCTAGAAACTTACACCCTTCGCCATTTTAAGTAAAAGATATGAATGATTTAAACTTCAAATAGAATATTTCCTGGGGTTGGGGTTAATTCATGACCCCTCCCCCGCGCACCCACCCGGGCCCCCCCGAAACCCGATCCTCCGAACACTGGCTGGTGGGGAAGGGGAGGGGGCTGAGTCATCTCACCTCCTCCGGGGCTCGGTTCCTCAACTCCTGGTTAATCCTCGTCTTCATCTCCATGTCCTCCTCCTGCTCTCTGCTCCTCCTCTCCTCCGTTACCCGGCCCTGCCTTCCCCACTAACCCCAACCCTCAAATTGTAAAAGATTTGGAAATGAATGAAAAGGAACGCAAATATAAACGCCCACCACCAGCAGAGAGGTGTGGGGGAGAAAGAAGAGAATGGCCAATGGAGTCCAAGGAGTTGGGACTCTAACTCGGCTGCCAGCACCTCCTTGTCCACACACTCGCGCGCGCACTCACATGCACACACGCACGCACACACATACACACACCCGCAGTTCCTTCCCCTTCAATGGCTGCTGAGAGACTGAGCCTCCATGACACGACACCGCCAACCCCCTGGCCCACACTCCGCCCACCTCCCGAGTGCATTGGTTAATGCTTCAACATCGCCCTCTTCCATTGGACAGCACAAATGTCCATCAGCCTCGAGGGCGGGCCCGAACCAGCCAGGCTGCGTCTATTAGCTACAACCAAGCGCGCAGTTAACTCCGATAGGTCCAGGAGGGTGTTCGTCCTGGGAAATTATTTTGAATCCCACTAGCCCCCCTACTTTTCTTTGTGTGATTGGCGCGCTTTCTCTAGGCTCTCGGGCGGTTCTGATGCTTGCTGGGTTTGTTTGGGTGTTTTGTTTTGTTTTCTTCTTTATGTTCTTAGTGTTAAAGGGAGAAGGAAAGCACCCGTCTTCCGTGCCCAAGTTGCGAGATTGGGTATTCACCACACAGCACGCACTGGTTCTTGGCGATTTGAAAGCACAGCTCCTGCTTTGTAGGCAAGGTGCACAGCAACGTGCACGCACATCACATAAAAAAAATGCCTTCCTGGCACTGCCCTGCTGGCACAGGCTTCTGGTGCAGAACCAGAGGCGGGATAAAAATGGTATTTTAGCCCTAGCCGGTTTTGCTCAGTGGATAGATCATCAGCCTGCGGACTGAAGGGTCCTCGGGTTCAATTCAGGTCAAGGGCACATGCCTGGGTTGGGGGCTGGAACCCCAGTGGGGAGCGTGCAGGAAGCTGCGATCAATGAGTTTCTCTCATCATTGATGTTCCTATCTCTCTCTCCCTCTCCCTTCCTCTCTGAAATCAATAAAAATATATTGACTTTAAAATACCATATTAAAAAAAGGTATTTTAACTTCCACCATGATTGCGCCTGATAAATTCTGCTGGCGTCACCCTGATAATTCCCTGAGATCCTGCCCCACCACAAAGATTGCCGGTGTTTCTATCTCGCCCTTCCTTCCTCTCTCTCTAAAAATCAATAAAAATAGCCTGGCCAGCATGACTTGGTGGTTGAGTGTCCGCCTATGAACCAGGAATCGGGCAGTCACGTTCAATTTCCGGTCAGGGCATATGCCCGGGTTGCAGATTTGATCCCCAGTGTGGGGCTTGCAGGAGGTAGCTGATCAATGGATTCTCTCTCATCATTGATGTTTCTGTCTCTCTCATCTTCTCTGAAATCAATAAAAAATATTTTTAAAAAATTTTTAATTAAAAAAATAAATACTTTAAAAAATATCCTCAGGTGAGAATTAACAATAACAAAAAGGACCACATACTGTACAATATAATACATAGACTTTCTGGAAAGGGCAAAATTATAGGGTCAGAAAACAGATCAGTCGTGACCAAAGGATGAGTGTGGGAAGAGAAGCTGACTATGAAGGGGCACAAAGGAATTATGGCAGGGAGGGTGTCAGGGGTGATGAACTGCTCTACATCTTGATTATGATGGTGTCACACAATTGTATGCATTTGTCAAAATTCATAGAACTGTACACTAAAAAGGGTGGATTTTACTGTATGTAATTCATACCTCCATAAACTTTATTTTTAAAAAAGGAATGAATCTGAACATTTTTTCCCAATAAAAAGGTGGGTTTTTTTTTTTAAAAAAAAACTATATGCCCTCTTGCAATTCCACTTTAAAAAACAATTGGACGAATGTGTAAATATACGTGAACAATAATATTGTGATTGAAATATTGTTTGTTAAAGGTAAAAACTGGGGAGGGGGACCCTAAGAGTCTGAAGGCAAAGGATTGGTTCAATACATCAGTTACTTCTATATAATACTATGCAGCTTAAATTGATGACAGGGATTTATATTTTTGACATAGAAGCATGTTCACAAAGTAATGTTAGAAAGGTTATAGACCAATTATGTATATAGTATGGTCCTATTTTTATAAAAACAATATTTATACACACAAAATATATGCATTCGGATGTAGCTTCATAGAAAAAAAGTTTGTAAGGTATCAGAATATTAACAGTGGTTATCTCTAGTTGTGAGAATTTTGAGTGATGTTATTTTTTTGAATCTTCTATTTTCCCTAACCAGCTATCACTTTTATAATTTAAAATAATAATTAAGGAAAAGTGACAAACTATTTCCAATATCAGATGTTCTTTACCATTCTGGTGCCAACTCCAAGGAACTGTTTTTTGTTTTTTTTATTGTTTTAAAAAAGGAGCAAAAGGGCCAATCCTTCCCAAAGTGCATGGATTTATAACCAACTTGTGAGAGGGTTACTTAAATAAAATACATGTGATACATGAAATAAAATGCAAGATGAATGGTAGAACAATGGGGAGAATGCAGGGTCTGTGAGCGCATTAATAAGTGATTTGTGAATCATTGAATAAAGCCTATTTACCTTTAAAAAATGTTGCATTTCACTTTGCAGGTGTTGCCTTAGAAATTACTTGAAGCTTTAAAAAAAGGTTTATTGGTTTTTGTATTTGTACTTCCTCCTCAGCTACTACAGGGAATTAACTGAGCCAGAATTGCCCTCTATTTCCTTTTATTTATTTATTTTTATTTACTTTTTTGTTAATCCTCACCTGAGGATATTTTTCCATTGATTTTTAGGGAGAGTAGAAGAGAAAGGGAAAGACAGAGAGAAACATCAATGTGAGAGAAACCCATCTATTGGTTGCCTCCTTCAGGAGCCCCAGACCAGGGTCCTGGATGGGGGAGGAGCCTGCAACCAAGGTACCTGCCCTTGACGGTAATCGAACCTGGGACCCTTTGGTCCACAGGCCAATGCTCCATCCACTGAGCCAAACCGGCTAGGGCTTCGTTTTATTTTCTTTAGAGATTTTTGTTTTCTGCCCTAACCTGTTTGGCTCAGTGGATAGAGCGTCAGCCTGCGGACTCAAGGGTCCCAGGTTCGATTCCGGTCAAGGGCATGTACCTTGGTTGGGGGCACATCCCCAGTAGGGGGTGTGCAGGAGGCAGCTGATCGATGTTTCTCTCTCATCAATGTTTCTAACTCGCTATCCCTCTCCCTTCCTCTCTGTAAAAAATCAATAAAATATCTTTTTAAAAAAAGATTTTTTTAATTATTTTAACACCTTTTGAGTGAGGGGTCAGTCAGAGCCTGATTCTTTGTCCTATTAATATTTCTATGTAACCTCAGCCAAGTGACTTTACCCTTCAAGACCCATATCCTTTTGAAAAATGTATAGATATTTTGAGAGCAAAATGTCAATGAAAGCACAGCAAGCTAGTTCATTATAAGGTTTCAAAGAAATCCAAATCATTTGTCACATTCTGATCTGAGAATAGACTTCTTATTTAGGGGATGATTTAAACCACTAATACCCATCGTCACAAGATTTTGGTGTATTTCCCTCTAATTTCTATCCCTATAGCAATTCAGACATAAAGGAAAATAAAGAAAAAATTATCTTTAACGGAATCTTCAAACAATTGAAAGGAAGTGTTAATGTATTTTGCTTGGGTTGGTACACAATCATCATTTGAGTTAGATGAATGGTAGAGAAGAAAAAGAAAAATGGTAGAGAAGAAGAAGAAAAAGAAGATAGGCAGAATGAGGTGGCCACCAAAGCAGATGGGACAAATAATCACAATTCTAGGGCACCATGATATCCTTTGTCCTTCCTCCTTGCAAAGGGAGCAGTTTATCAGCTATATTAAGAGAATCTGGCCTTGATATAACCTTTCATTTGGTGACACCCTCAGAGACAATGAAGCAGGAGTCTGCCTTCCTTGGAGTAGCAATTTTTATGTTCTTACATGTGACTGCAGGACCTAGTTATGCTCCCTTCCTGTGGAAAGATTGTTGACATGAGGTCAAGAAAATCTCACTGCTAATTGTCCATCTGCCTTGGTTTCCATAAACACTTTGCTCTACCGCTAATTAGAACTTGTCACCATTGTATTCCAGTAATTGGGTAAGGTATCTGCATCCCCTAAGAAGTTCCTAAGGGCAGGGATTACATCTGATTAATTTTTTTTATTTCTAGGGTCTGGCATGATGCCTAGCACCTGGAAGTATTCCATATATGTTTATAACTAACGAAGGCATTGTTGCTAAACTCTACAAAAGTGACTGCAAAGGACAATTTGAGATGGCTGGAACCCCTACAAAGAGTGGCAAATCCTCTGCTACCTCTGCTTCTCCAGTTGGTGTGGGGCAATCATTCTTTTTTTTTTTTTTAATATATTTTATTCATTTTTTACAGAGAGGAAGGGAGAGAGATAGAGAGTCAGAAAGATCGATGAGAGAGAAACATTGATCAGCTGCCTCCCACACATCTCCCACTGGGGATGTGCCCGCAACCCAGGTACATGCCCTTGACCGGAATCGAACCTGGGACCTTTCAGTCCGCAGGCTGACGCTCTATCCACTGAGCCAGACCGGTTTCGGCGGGCATTCATTCTTGTGTGGTGCCTCAGACCAGTAGCCTCAGCGTCACACTGAAACCTGTCAGAAATGCAAATTTCTGGACATACCCCAAACTATGGAATCAGAAACTGTGAAAGGGGGAGGCCCAGAAATTTGTATTTTAATAAGCTTTCCAGACGATTCTGATGCACACTGTCGTTTGAGAAGCAGTGGTACAGGAGGAAGTTCAGTGGTACCTATATTCTTGTTCTGGTTCAGCTTAGCAACTGTATGACAAACCACAGGAAAATCCCTAAATCCCTCAAAGCTCAGTCTTTACAAGGTAAATAGGGAGTTGGAATGACGCCTGAGGATCCTTCTGGTATAAAATTCTGTGAAATACCAAATGTAAAAAAAAAAAAAAAAAGGTAAATAAGTGTCCCAATGACTAGATTCATTCATTCAATCAGCAAATATTTATGTACCAGGCAGTGTTCTGGGCATGGAATCAATGCATGACACAAAATTACTCCTTTTTAATTAAAGTGGCAACATTTCAGACCACAAATTCTTACCTGTCCTCTTTCTACAAGATTCTTATACTGTACTAGTATCTGTCCTGCATGTGAACTGGAAAACTAAGAAAATGATCCACCCCTCCCCCAAATTACTTTAATTCTTGGAAACTTTTGTGTTCACCTAAGGGGCTTCAGTACCAATGTGTTAGAAGACAAGGGTGTGATAATAAATGTGATTATCTACCAAGTTAGACTATTTCTGGGTCTGTATTACTTCACGGAACACAGTTGCTTGCACTTGTAGGAAATCAGATGCTATCGAATTCTGTCTCCTCATTGATTCTCTGCCCGCAGCAATCAGTTACCACCTGTACTGCTTGAGGAAGTTCCTTTTGATCTGCCTCCCTTCCTCTCTGAACTCTCATATACAGTGGGGCCTTGACTTACGAGTTTAATTCGTTCCGAGACCGAGCTCGTTAAGGAGCTCGTTAACTCAAATTACTCTATCAACTCAATGCAAAAAATCGGCCGAGAGACAGCTGGTATCTCAAAAAACTCGTTAGTCGGGACACTCGTAAGTCAAGGCCCCACTGTACTCGTCATACAAACTCAGAGAACCTAGTGGCTTCCTGTGAGGTGTTTTAGACTATTTGGGATATTTAGTAAGTTTAAATAATCCTTTTTTAAAAAAGGGCCTTTGAAGGAAAAACAAACCAAAAACTCGCCACACTTGGACGCTTTTGATTCTGACCTGTTCACATTTCACTACCTTTGAAAGGTCAGGAGATGGCGCCAGAAGGCAGCGGAGTGCCTTGGTTTTTGTAGGGTTTCAGCCAAACCCCGGGTAAGGAAAGGGCTGGAAAGTGGAATTAAAACAAAGGTGCCAGAGTTTGAGTAGCAACTAAGGGGGTGAGAGTGAGGGTGGGGGTGGGGGTGGGGGTGGGGGTGGGGAGGCTTCTTTTCTTAAACATATAAGGCTCCTCTTGACATCTATCCCAAAGCAGCCTGGTGACATTGGAAATATCCACAAGGGAGCCAAAGATCAAAATAAAGGCAAGTCTCTGGAGATGGTGCTTCCCTCGTCTAGAAACCAGGCCCTTTGTCCTTTGGGGAAGCACGAGGGCCTAGATGAGCTGCTCACTCGGAAGTGAGAAAATGCTGAGGTGGGGCTCAGACATCTTTGTGAAACAGTGTTCAATTGTGTAGACAAAATCCCAGAGCCCACCGGCAGTGAAACACTTCCCAGGAGGAATCACTCACAAAACATTTTAAATTCAAATTCTAACAAAGTTTAAAAAAAAAAGTTCATAGACAACCAGGAGGTGGCGCCTGGCAAGACACACTCCCTGCCTCGGGCGGTTGAAATCACAGCCCCGGTTGAAATCACAGCCCCAGGCGCTCCCCAGGAACTCGGAGCTCATTCTGAGCAGGCCCCTTCTTTAGTGCCAAGCAAAAGACGTCTCAGCTTTCTTTTCTTTTATTTTTGTTAATCCTCACCAGAGAATATTTTTTCCATTGCTTTTCAGAGAGAGTGGAGGGGGGGGGGAGGGAGGAGAAGGAGAAAGAGAGAAACATCAATGTGAGAGAGACACATCTACTGGTTGCCTCCCACACACGCCCCGACCAGGGGGCAGAGAGCGAACCTGCAACCCAAGTATTTGCCCTTGACTGGGAATGGAATCCGAGACCCTTCGGTGCACAGGCCAACCCCAGCCAGGGCTCTGCTTTTTCTTTGCCTTTTTTTCCCTTCTTGTTCCTCTGTGATAACTATCCTCATTCCCAGGAAGTCTAATTTACACTTTACCATCCATTCTTCTTAGATGAGATGTGTGGGGACTTTATGGGAACCTCAAAACAAAACTTTACAGTAAGTGCCTTGGCTGGTGTTGCTCAATGGATAGAGCAGCAGCCCATGCATGGGGGGGTGGGGGGGGAGGCCGAGGATTCGACTCCGTGTCAAGGGCTTGTACCAGGGTTGCAGGTTGCAGGTTCAAACCCAGACCGGTTGGGGAGCATGTGGGAGGCAACCAATCATATGTCTCTCTCTCTTTCCCCCTCCCTCCCTCCCTCTCTTCCACTTCCTCTAAAAAAAAAAAAAAAAAATCAATAGAAAAATATATCCTTGGTGGGGATTAACAATGACAACTTTCCTGTAAGGGAAAAATCATATGAAGGGTGATGAGAGAATTAAAAAGGAAGTGACATCTGCAAAATGGCTTGGCTTTGCAGATCAATCACAGAAAGGCCTGGGCCAGGGGCTCCTGCCTCCGCAGGTGCTGATGACCCTGCACAGGCTTTATTCTGTTGGGCGTTTATCCTGCTCCCTTATTTATTTATTGCTACTTAGCAGGAGCGAGGAGGGAGGGCAGAGGGAGCTCAGATGGGAGCATCCTCCGGGCTGGTGACTGATGAAGGGTATGGAGGAGAGAGAGATCGCAGCGTCTGGTCTGAAAGTGTCTGGGTTTCCCATTCTCTAGTGAAGGACTTCGGGTGTACATTCCGATCGGGATTTCCAGTCCCGTGGGGAGCAAGCAGCAGCCCACATTCCCGACACGGCCCCGCGCCCAGCTCCCGGCGGCTGGTCTCACTGGGCCCCGCGTGTCCTGCTCAGCCCTTTGTTGGGAGGGAAGACCCTGGGCCCCTCTTCCAGCCGGGTCACATGGTCTCTCTGGGCTCCCTCCCCTCTCTTTCTCTGGAGCCCGCCTTTTTTGGTGATGGCAGTGATTGTTCCTAAGGTCTCCCCATCTCTCCTCCTGCCCTGGCCTTCCTGCCAGGGGTTAGTGTCCTTTTCAGTGACAAAAGCCTGCCCTAGATCTGGACTCCCTGGGGAGGGAGGTGCCTGGGTCTGGCAGTTGGAGCCGCTGTCTCCCCATGGTGCTGCGACAGCCCCTCCCCCGCTGGGCACACAAATGGGCTTTATACAACAAACAAAACCCCCACCCCCCACCCAGGCCACACAGGCACGTGGACCCGGCCTCACCGTGGGAAGGGGGTGGTGACAGGCACTCCAGACAAGTTCCCTTGGCCTCGCTGCTCCTCGTTATTTCCCACAATTCAGGTTTTAGTCCTTGACTTCCTACCCTGAGTCTCCCAACTCCTCCTGGTCACCTGTCTCCTAACTCCGGCCTCTTCCTATTCCAGCGCCGTTCAGATTCTTCAGGAGATTGGGAACGGTCCTCCCACCGTCTGCCCCACACCACCCAGGGAGCTGCTCCTCAGAGCAGCCAGCCGGGGAATGAGAACCCAGTGTCCCCCTGCGTGGGCTGGATTGAACCCCGAAGCCCCCCTCCCTGCCCGCTCCCCCTCCAGGGGACACCCTTCTGAACAGTGTCTGTGTGGAAAGAGGAGGAAGGAAGAGCTCACCCAGCGGGGCTCCTGAGCCAGGGCCAGGTCTCCAGTGGAACCCGGGGTGCACGCAGCGTGCTCCGGCTCTGAGCAGGGCCAACCTGCATGCCTAATCGGCTATTTAAGGAGCTGTTGGCCAGCAACCCAGGCAGCCCAGCTCCCCACCTATACCCATCCAGAGCCACCTTAAAAGCAGAAGGCAATTGTGAAGTCGCTGGCCAGCAAGTAGAGTGAAGACTGCAGAGGGAGATAAAAGAGAGAGGGCCCAGAGAGAGGGCAGCGAGATTTGTCCTGGGGAACCTCGAAACCAACGGTAGCCGGCTGAGAACCAACCACCTGGAAGCCCACAGAGACACAGAGACAGCAAGAGAAAAAGAGAAGAGAGAAATACATTCAACTTCAGGACTCTCTCTCTCTCTCTGACTCTCTCTCTCTCTCTACCTCCCCCACCCCCCCTAATCTGGTCCTCCAGTCTCCAAACTCCCAGTACCTTGTGCTCCTCCTGAGGATACCATCATGTTCTTCACGTTCCTGCTACAGGTGATTTGGATCCTGGCTGCTTTCGGGGGTAGGTATCTGAATGTCGGTGTCTGCTGATGTCCTTACGCAAGCTTAGCGGGAGGAGGGTGGTTAAGGAAGCCTAGGGGCTAGAAAAATAGTCTCAGTGATTGGGGGGCACAACAGGGGGTGGGGAGAAGATCACTTTCCTCTTTCCCCTCTGCCTTCCCAGCCCTGCTGTTAGTGAGGAGGGGGGATCTGGGGGGATGGGGGCAGGATGTGTAAACACACTCTGGAACCTCTGTGCTGGCTAGATTCTCTCCAGAGCTCTTGCCCCCACTGCCCTCGTCCCAGCCAGCCCTCCTGGCCTGTCTCATCTACTAACTCCCCCAATTAGGGAGTCCAAGAGCCCTGGAATGAGAAAATAAAAAACTGATGTCAGGGAGGGGTATAGCCTAACCACCGGCCTAACTCAGACCCTGATGCCGGACCACGAACCTCATGGCCAAGGGCCCCTTTGAGTCTGTGGAATGACTAATTTCCCAGTTTTTCCCTAGAAGGAAGTAGCAATGATAGTCAACACAGCTGGGCCCTTTACAGTTTATAAAGGCCTTTCAGGAGCCCCAGGGACTTGAGGGGGGACTCTTGGGAGAACAGGCTGAGGTGCTTCGGGGGGCGTCCCCAGGACCCCACCCCTCATATTTGTGTCTCCTGTGCCTCCCGCAGTACCCAGCACCCAGTAGGTGTGTGATTGAGTCGTTGGAAGAACACGGTGAAGAGGGTTGTCTAGAGAGCACGGTGGCACAGAGAGGATGGTGGGGGAGCCAAATGCAGAGCAGCTCATTGCGTCTGAGGAAAGAGAACAAAATGGGGAAAGTCCTCAGGAAGCGATGTAAAATGAGTGTGTGAGGATTTGGTGGAGGGGAAGGGCCAGGCGGCCCCTGCCCAGGGCCAGGGGTTCAAGTTGTTAGGACGTCCCGCTGAACTGGTGAATGGAGGCTCCTCTAGCCTCCGGTGGGCGGCTTTTCACTGTTGTCTGAACCAAGGGATGGGCTAGCGGAAGAACCCAAGACTGAGATCAAGGATATCTTAGAAGTCTGAGGAATTTAAGGGAATAAGAGAGAGAAAGGAGGGAAGTTAGGATTTTTCTCCAAAGTTTCTAGCCATTTGAATAATGCAGACGGAACCTGCAGGGAGGGCTCGCTTTCCCCCTGGAAGCAATTTGGCTCTGGGTGCGGTGAGGGCCGGGCCAGCAGACCCCCTGCCTGTCAGCCCCAGACGGGACTGCACGCGAGCCTGGCATGTGACCCGGCTGGCAGCTCTCGTTCCCACACACAATGCTCCACTTTCATCCTGTCCCTGCCAGCCTGGCTGCCTGTGCCCACCCACCACCCTCCGTGTAGAGTGGACCCTGGCCTGACTCCCGCCTTCCCTAGCCATCTGGGAATCTGGGGAGCAGAGGCTCCTGGTGATGGGGGACGTTTCCTTTAGTGTGACTGGAACCAGAGGAGGAAGCTAAATGTTCACCGCCCGCTCAGTGCTTTGATTTGGGCAATGCCCTTCTCCCCTCAGTAACACTGTCCCCTCCTCTGAACTTCCTTTCCCTCCCTGTTCATCTCTTTCCTCCAAACCCCCTGCCCACTCCGATCTTCTCAGGGTTAGACTGGCTTGGCACAGGCTGGGGAAAAGTGAGGGTTGGGTGGACTGCTCATTTGGATCCAGGTTAATTTTAGTCTCCGGGCTTTATCTCTTTTATTTCTCCACCCCCTTTACGCAGCCGCAAGCACAGGCACAGCCTGGCTGGTGATTTTAAATAGGCCCCTGACCTTTCCGACCTTTCCGCTGAGGTGTCCAGTTTCAGGGCTTCCTATGGGAAGTGCTGGAGCCGAGGGAGGAGGAGGAGGAGGAGGGAGCAGAGAGGGAGGTGGAGGGTACAGATGCCCCAGAGGGCCCTGCCCCAGGCTGTAACTCAAATTACTCTGCCTTGCAGATGAACACTGGACATATGAGGGTGAGCTGACTCCAAGGCCTACCTACACTGATTTCTCCTTTCCCACGGGGACCTCTTCACCGGGCAGGAAGATTTATGTCGTACGGCTTGCTTTAGCTTTTCGCCCTAGCTCCTTTCCTTCCCCATCACCCCAGGTCCTAGGTTTTGGCTATGTGACTCCTAGACCTTGTTCAAATCATCAAATCCCACACCCCCTGACTCGGCAGAAAAGCCAGTTACGTCCTCTGTTTGTGGGATGGGGGAGTTGGAGTGGAAAGAATATTGGATAGGGAAAATGAACCGTGAGCGTAGCTGCCAATTCACCTCCTACCTCTCTATCCTAATCGATCCTACCCCCAACCTGCATCTGGAACTGGGACAGAACCTGAGGTCAGGGGTGAGGCACAGAATGGCAGGATTGTTTGTGATCCTGCTGGAGGTGGAATTCAATTCCTTTGAACTTCTGATTAATAACCTAACAAGTCCAGAGTCGATGCAAGGTCCAGGGTGAGAGCAAAAAGCAAATGAGGAAAAGCCCTACAGAGACCCTGCCTCTCGGGGACCCTTTTATGTTCCGTTTTCCTGCTCCTGCTCCCCTCCCCGGCTGGGCATGAGGGGTTTTATCCAGCCCCTCTTCCTCTCAGTGAGCTTTCTTGTCCTCAAACTACAGGTAAGTAAAACCCATGACCCCCATCTCTCAGGAAAGCTGGGGGTCAGCCCTGCCCCGAGGGAGGAGGAAGAAACAGAAGCATCGGGTCCAGCGGGGGCTCCTACCTCACCCAGCTGAACACAACGGGGTCTTCACCTGGGGCGGGAGGACACTCATCTCTGCCTCTGCACAGATGTGTAACCTGGGGGGGTGATGGCTGGAGGGCAGGACAAATATCTGTGGTAACTTCCACCAGGCCCACATGGTCAAGACCCACTGGCCGGCCTCTTTCCCCGAGTGTGGAGGCAATGCCCAGTCCCCCATCAATATCGAGACAAACAGTGTGACTTTTGACTCGGACTTGCCCGCTCTGCGGCCCCACGGATATGACCAGCCTGGCACCGAGCCTCTGGAGCTGCACAACAATGGCCACACAGGTAACGAGCCCCGGCTCTAAGCAAGGGACCGGGCGAGCTCTGACCTTACAGTCGGGGGAGAAGCGTTCTCCCGACTTCTGAATCCCAAGGCTGCTTCTAGACACGTGGAGATGTGAGAATGGGGATGAGGCTCGTGGAGCAAAAGTGGGAACTGAATGTCTATGATCAAGCTCTCTGGGTGGATTGGTCTAACACCATCGACTTGATCTTCAGTGAGAAAGATGTGCTAGAAAAGCAGTGGCCCATGGGAAGGACTGGGTGCTATTGGTGAAGGAAGACGGAGAAGGCTGGCCAAGTCTCCCAAGAATTGGTGGCAACCCAGGGGTGGGGATGTGTCCACACTCCCCTACCAACCCGAGCTCTCGCTCTCTCCCTCACAGTGCAACTCTCTCTGCCCCCTACCCTGTACCTGGAGGGACTTCCCCGGAAATATGTAGCTGTCCAGCTCCACCTGCACTGGGGTGAGAGAGGATCCCTGATGGGGTCCGAGCACCAGATCAACAGCAAAGCCGCGGCTGCAGAGGTACCAGAGAGCGGGGCTTGGACCAGCACGCGGTGACAGGCAGGGTCGGCCCCCGGGAAAGGAGGGCCTGGAAACTGGGAGAGTCACACGTGGAGGATAACGCCGACCCTGCGGGCAGATCTGGGGCTGGAAGTGGGGGTGGCGGCAGCTGAGGCCAGAGCCTTTGGGAGCGGGTGGTGGAGAAAAGATGAAATGATCCGATTCCCTCCCCCCTCAGCTCCACATCGTGCATTACGATTCTGATTCCTACAACAGCGTGAGTGAGGCTGTGAAGAGCCCTCAGGGCCTGGCTGTCTTGGGCATCCTCATTGAGGTGAGTGGCCCCCACTCCCTCTGCACCCCTCAGTCCTACTCTGCCCATGTCTGTTGTTGGTCTCCCTCCCAAGGCAAGTGAGCAACCACTCTGACCATTTATTTTCTAATGAATGTCTTACTCCAAACATGGACTCGTGCCAAACTCTCTCCCTTTCCAGGTGGGTGAGACTGAGAATCCAGCTTATGAACACATTCTGAGTCGCTTGCATGAAATCAGGTATAAAGGTGAGCCCTAAAAATCTATTTTAGGACAAAGTGAGATTAGACATCAGGGAAATCCCTCCCTCCCCCACTCCCACCGCAAAATAAATAAATAAATAAATACTAAGAGGCCAGAGATGAGGGAGTGAGGCAGCAGCAGGAATTCTGCTTCCGGGCGCCCTTTCTAGGGAAACTAGAGCTAGGGTGCAGCCGGAGGATGATCCCAGTCCTTCTCCCCCAGGTCAGAAGACCTCAGTGCCTCCCTTCAGCGTGAAAGAGCTGCTCCCCCCAGAGCTGGCACAGTTTTTCCGCTACAATGGCTCGCTCACCACACCCCCCTGCTACCAGAGTGTGGTCTGGACAGTCTTCAGTCAGAAGGTCCAGATTTCAGTGGGACAGGTGAGTGGTGGGGAGATGAGGCAGCAAAGCCACAGCTGTAACCCCAGACCCTTTCCCACACCTAAGTGACACTCTCCTCGAACCCCACTCTTCTAGCTGGAAAAGCTGCAGGAGACACTACTCTCTAGAGAGATGGAGCCCGCTCAGGTCCTGGAACAGACCTACCGAGTCCCACAACCTCTCAATCAGCGAAAAGTCCTTGCTTCTTTCAACCAAGGTGACTGTACAAAGCTCGGAAAAGGAGGGGGGAAACTGGGGTTCTCCATGGCAGGAACTAGGGGGCCCCTGGAAGGAAAAGAAGGCTAAGAGGGTAAGGGTTTCCAGGACTCACTTGGACTGGGAACCAGGCCCCAACCCTCAGCGGCCAGGTGACTTCCCCAAGTACAGGGGCAAGCTGGGATGGGGCTCTGACACCCCACTGACCCAAGTTTCCTTTCCTTACAGACGAATCCCCGTATACCACAGGTAAGGCACCCTGCCCAGTTACATTGGGGGGGGGGGCTCCTCAACGAGAAGGGAAAGGCTCAATATCTATGTCAGTCTTAGGCTGACACCCCCCATCTTTCTCTCCCAGGTGAAATGCTGAGCATAGGAGTGGGAATCTTGGTTGGCAGCCTCTGCCTTGTGGTGGTTGTTTATTTCATCGCTAAGAAAATCCAGTGAGGCCCTACTTCCCATTCCTCTAGTCCCTTCTTTCCTATTGAAAAGCATTCTCCTAGTCCACTTAGCTGTCTCTCCTAGTCCACCAGTCATGCCCGTTCCCTGTTCCAGGAAGAAGAAGCTGGAAGACGAGAAGAGTGTGGGATTCACCTCAGTACAAGCCACGGAATAGACTCCATCGCGAACATCATGGACTCCTAGGTCATACCTGTCAGGGAGCGTCCAGAATGGGGGACAGGGACTGGCCAGAAATACAAACCCCTCCTTCCTCCAGACAGTCATGGACTGGCTCTCAGTCAAGAAAGAACTTCAGCCTCTCCAAACGTATAGGAGATGAGGAGAGCCCTACATTGATAATGCAGAGGGCACGCTGTGCTTGGTTGTAGGGGAAGTTGGGAATGTGACCCAAATTCCCCCACCCCCCTCCTTTATGGCTCTTTCGCTAGATACGGGCAGGATATCCCCTCAGGAAAAAGGGTTGCTGTTGTGGGGGTTATATTTTTGCTCAATATATTTGAAAATTAAGGTTTCTGACCCACCTCTGGCTTTACCTTTGGGACTCTTGAGTGTGGGAGAGTTTCTTAATCCCTCAGGTGGCAGAGGTAGGCAAAGGACAGGGAAAAAGAAGCATGTGTGAGTAACTTCTTTTACCCCAATCCTCGGAGAGACCCTAGAAAATGCTTAACCCAAAGTCTCCGACATGTTAAACCACCAGCCCATGTTTCTGCCCTTGCGCCAAACCTAGGTCAGGAGGGGATCAGAGGTGCCAAATTAGGAAGAAAGTTGCACCAGAGACCTGAGAGGACAGGAATCTCAACTAATGTTATCCCCTTCCTTAAAAGGCACGTTCCCCCAAAATTATAAAGTCCTTTTTATTAGTCAAAATCACAGTCACCTTGATTAAAAGGATGGAACACGCCATCCTCAGCAGAAAATGATACAGTTTATAGAAAACCTCCCCACCCCACCCCCATACAGTCCCAATTAAAAACTAGAAAAAAATCTTCCCTCCTTCCCTACGATGTCATGGTAGGCTGGCTCCTCCAGTGGCACTGTAGCTCCAGAGTGGGCCAGCTCACCACAGCACCCTCCACTTCACCTTGGGGAGAGGAGGGATGCTGGTGGTCAAGGAGGTTAAAACATTAGTTCCAGTAATACCAGTTCCCAAACATGCATTTCCTTCCTATCCCCCATGGGACCATGGAGAATAGGGGACAGATAGGAGCCCAGCTAGAAGGAGCAATTTGAGGAGGTTAGGAGAAGTCCAACATACCTCCTCCCTTTTCCTTCTC